GCAGGGACCCAGGCAGCACCCCCGGTATAGTTGCGGGCATACACTAAGTCCCCTATGCCAAATGACCAGCGTTGGCTGGTTGAATTGGTGGGTGTCTCTGCATTGTAATGTGGATGTAGCCTGTCTAGTTATGATCTGAATTCTGCTGGTCCTTGGTTTGTGATGGCGCTAGGGGTTATGTGTTGAACTAGGAGGAACTTATTGATTTTAGTTTGCCAGTCCCCTATTCTTGCTAGCACCTCTTTGAACCACATCATTCTCTCTGCTTGACCATTGGTCGATGGATGAAATGGTGCGGACAGGGCATGGCAGATTCCATGTTGCACTAAAAATGTTTCTAATTGATTTATTGTGAATTGGGGCCCATTGTCTGAGACCACAATGTCTCGTCAGCCATGGGTGGAGAAAAGTCCCTGTAACACCTTAATGACTGCTTCTGGTGATCTAGTGGTCATCAGTATTACCTCAAGCCATTTTGAATATCCATCTACAATTATAAAAGATGTTTGGCCCTGCACAGCCTGAGAAGTCAATGTACCAGCCCCTAGGTTACCTTTTGGACTGGATGTGCAGCTTGGCATTCGGTAGCTCAGTGCCCTTCCTTCCCACACTTCTCAGTTGTTTGGAATCACCGTTGAATTTCACCCTGAGGGCTGGTGGTCTGCAGTTTCTCCTCCTTGATGGAGGCCAAGCTGGTGGCACTGGGTGGGACACTGCTGATTGAAGTGCTGGTGCCACAGGAGGAGGCACCTCTGCAGCCTCCATGGCAGGTGCTGCTGCAACATAACGACCATCAACCTGCACTGGTTGGGCAGCTGGCAGTGCCATTCAAGCCAGGGCTGCATGTACCTTGAGGTTGTTGAAGGCTTCTCTCAGGAACTCTATGACTTGCCCCAGCATCAGGTCTTCATGATTTGCTCCCCCAACTTCCCTTTGGCAGCTCCCTCAGCCCCCATGGATGAAAGTCTTCCTAGAAGGCTTTTCTTCCCCTTCCCTCCTTCTTCCTGACCCCCAGTGATCATTGGAGTCTTGGTTGATTATTGCAGACTTCTGTCTCTGCTAGCTATTGAGGGAGGTCCACTCAATCATGGGATCTCACCAACATTTCTCCACAAGCCTTGATCTCCTCCTAGTCACTCCTGTGGGCCAACTTGGTCCCCACGGTAGAAGCGTCTCTCTGGGTTGACCACTATTGCAGTTCTAGTCTAATGTCAGACCTGCCCCACCTAAGTTCCTAAAGCAGGCTAGAACTATGTCTTCCTACCCAAAGTGTGACATCCCTGTACGATGCTTTGTGAACCCGCTTTGATGTTAGGTGCATCTTGAAATGGCTTCATATTCTTTCTGAGGCTAGGCATCCGTCTAGTTTTCACACATCTGGTTTCTGTCAGTACCAATCCCTCCCCACTTCGCCTCCTTCTACTTCCTCATGCACCTTCTTCCCAAAATGGCTGTGCCCCCTGCCCCATTTATGGCAGGATGCCAGCAGTTTAGTGGAGCAGAGTGAAGATGGCAGAGCTAACACTTCATGAGGAAGACACAAGCCCTTCAGATACATTTCAAGTGTACAATTAATGGATTCCTCTCTGGAAATAAAGGGTTAAAGAACTAGCATCTTCTCAAGAGACCTTGTATTTTCTCCTCCCTCTTTCTAAACTAAGGTGAAGAGCAAAGATGGAGGGTGATAAGCTTCAGGTGTGAGGCAAAGAGAGAAATCACAGCCATAGGTAGATTTTTGGTTTAGTAGCTCCTGATATGCCAGAAACCAAGTACATAGAAGGTACAGGGGCTACAGGGATATATTTCTTGATTGAAAATCTCCTAAAGGTAAGAACTTTTTGAGAGTGGAGTAATAGTTTCACTGGATGCATTGAACAGAATGCAAGTATTGTCGTCTAGATACAAAATTTTGAGAGATGTAATCAGTTTAAGAAAAACTAAGGGATTGAGAAGCTCCAGTATTATGATAAAAATATGCAAATAAATAAAACTCAGAACATATGTTATATCCTGTCAGGATTAATAGAACCCAAATTGCATGAAAATAATGAGCCAGAATATTCAAGATGTCTAATTTTACATTTCATCCCCTTAAAGCTGAATAGTCTGAATAGTTGTCCTGCTGGAGTTCATTCTGAAAGATGGAATCTAATCAGAAACTGGATAATTGCCTGTCTGTTCTACATCCAGAGATAACTATAAAACTGAACAAGCAAATAATGGTAACCTGCTTCTGGAATAGTTTATTGAATGTTAAATTGCCTATAATTTCTAATTACCTATGAATACAGTGAGACTTTGCACAGTATTGCATCACCGTCAAGCTCTTATAAAGCCCATGAGGCTGTCTCTGTATCTGCTACATGAGTGCTATAATAGTTTTTAAAATCCAAAATAATGTATTGTATATATACAATTTCAAGGACAGCTATAGAGACACCAGCCCACAGCAATACATTTTCCTTCAATGACACTGTATTATTTCTACTGTTATATAGATATATAATTCATCTTCAATGTATTATATAAAAGAACCACAAGGATTGCATTGTGGAGCTTTTGACAAAACAACTGTTACCATAGGTCCAGACCTTTGGAAGAAATGTATAAATGCTTAACAAAATTCTATTGAAAGAACTGGAGGGTAGTGCTAACCTTTTTCACATATCCCAAGTCCCAATGAATATGTTTGTTTATTTATTTGTCATATTTAAAACCACCCTTCTCGCTTACAAAGGGGGACTGGATGGTGTACTATAATCAGAATTCTTTAACTGATAGGGTTCGCAACATACCTTCCCTGCCTGGGCTGGGGTAATGTAACAGGATGAAGACAGCTTTACAGTTAACCTGACCACATGCACACGTAGGGTTTTGAAGGTGATAACCAACACCTTGGACTTGGAAGCAAACCAGCATCTAATGCAGATTACACAGCAGAGGTGTTATATCCGTCATTCTTTGGGCACCCAAGATTGCCTGTTCGGCCACATTTTGTATCAGCTGAAGCTTCTAGATATTTTTCAAGGCTAGCCTCATACAGAATGTATCGCAATAGTTCAAACAGGAGATGACCAGGGCACAAGTGACTGAGTGGTGATCTCCCTATTCAGTAATGGGCATAACTGGTGTACAACATGAAATATTGGACCATAAAGTTAATGTCAAGCCTCAATATGAAATCATTCTATTTAGTCTTCCCACCACCCTCATCTATATAACATGTTAATATAGCCCAAATCTAGGATGAGCTATAGTCTTGTTTGTCAAATGATGGTCTGTACTCTGCAATCCCATGGCATTGATTTCCAGGGTGGGTATTTCAGTGGGTTTAATGAAAATGTATCAAGTTCTTCAACAGAGAATGGAGGCTATAAAATTTTAGGAAATGGAATATTAGGTCAGAGTCTGTGGAAGTAATTCAGCAGGAATCCAAGGATCCTAATGTGAAGAAGAGCAAATCCAGCAACTAGTTATGATAATGGGAATAATTTCCTAGATTAAAATTTAATCTGGTTCTTAACAGAAGGATCGCAGTACAGAGTAGCTCTTCCCTCCAAAAAAGACATCTTGGTGCCACAAGTCTATTCCCGCGATTAATTTGAGAAGGCAAGAGATTGACATTTTTGCCCCCCCGATCTAAATGCATGATACAAAGGCACTGGTGGATATTCCTTGCCTACCAGAAACCAGAGCTTGGCAGTTGCAAGAAAATAACAGCTGCTGGGGTGCTGCTAAGCAACAGCTCCAGCTTGTCTCCAGCAGCAGCAAAGAAAACAAGGCCTGAGTTATCAACTGAAAGATGTTCGCAAAATGGCCTGGAGTCATTGGCTACAGTTTGATGGCAGTTTTTTTGGAACATACTGTTTGTATTGACAACATAACACTGAGGACTTGAAGAAGGAAGAGGACTGTTTCTCATTCTCTCACTTCTAAAAAGCAGATCTTTAGTTAATCTGATGTGGCCTGCCAGAGTAAGTGGGATCAGAGCTGTGATGCTAATTTTTGAACAATGGGCTCACTAGTGACAGAAAGTAGGGTCGAGGAAAGGTTAAAATGTCCTTACTTGGTAGCCAAGAAAAGCTATCAGTTTGTTTCTCGAGCTTTCTCTTTGGGCCATTTGTCCTAACAAATTAGTTGAGAGAGGCAAGAAGGATTAATGTTACAAGGTTCAACTTCATTCCAACACTCTTCCATCCCGCATCCCTTATATGGGCTGAAGCCATTCCAGTAGTATGACAACTTGCTGTGCCATCTGGTCACCCATCACCACCTGGCTGCAGGACACCTCACACCGGCCAGCTTGCCACAGGGACATCTCGTTGTGAGCCTTCCACTTTGGTTTCCAAAGCCAGGCCCTGCTTAAAGGAAATGAAAGTTCCTACCAGCCCACTTTCTCTGAAGGTTTCCCACTTTGCTTTCCAGCAGTCCCCTGTGAAAGTCCTCCCCTCAGCCAGTTCCTGAGTAAGGTATAAACAGAGCTTAAAGCTGATGCAAGTTTCTGGTCATGCAAAAGGCTTCTGAAGTGTTTACTTTGGGTCCTAGTGATACCTGGGCCACTCTGGTGAGCTATTGAAGGTGCAGATACTTGGATTTACACAATAAGTTAAGCCATAATGTGATGGTTTTGTTCTGGCTTAGTATATAGTGCAAGCCCCAAATATAAAGAGAAACACGTGTACATCTGATTCCCTGTAAAGATTGAAAGTTGTAATTCTATTGGTTCCTTTGGCAATTATTATGTTTTACTTTTGAATACACAAAACAAAATGCAGTGGGTTCAGAAACACTTGAAAAGTCTCGAATTTAGCTCTGTATGTGGCTGTGCTCCTCCTGAAAGAGTTGCTGTGCAATTTGGGGCGCTCCTGGACTCTTAGTTCCTGAAGAAGTAGTAAATAGAAGCTATGGACAAGAAAAACTTGGCCCAATTTTAGCTAGTGCCCCACACAAGTCTGAGCAACAGACCTTGTCACCTTGCAGACGACTATAATGCACGCTACATGGGAGTGATCTTGATGGCCACCCAGAGGTGTGTTTTTTGAGGACACAAATATTTGTGTATTTTTGCATGCAGATGATGCCATATTATTGGCTAAGAACATGAATCAATTGCAAGAAATAGTAGAATGTATATGCAATTATTATCATGGGTTTGAAAATTAATTTATCAAAAAAAGGTAAATGCATTGAACTATGAAAAATTATATATAAATGAAAAACAAAAGCAAGTAGATGAATTTGTGTACCTTCGTAGAACATTGACTAAATATGGAAAATGTATGAAAGTGGCATATTGAGGTGGTTTAGTCACATAGAAAGAATGTTGAGTTGAAGAACAAATATATGAAAAAAATTGAATGGGTCAAAAAGAAAGAAAAAAATATAAGAGAATTATGTTTGGATGAAATAGATAAAATCCGGAAGAAGGTGACAATTTTAAAGAACAAAAGACAATATATCAAATTGTATATCTACATACCAGTGAAACGTGGACACTAACCTCACAATCGATATAAAAGAGCCTTGGAAAGATACATGCTCAGCATTACAAGACAAGATACAAAGGCCTGCACATGGATTAGAGAACAAACGAAAGTATACAATATTATCAAGAGAGAAAAGAATGGAAATGGAAATGGTCACATAGCAAGAGGAACTGATGGTGGACCATAGAATAGTCATAGAATGGATCCCACACGATAAATAGCATCTAAGAAAGAGACCCAAAACAAGATGGATCTATGACATCAGCAGTATTGCAGGCCCCATTGGCAAAAGAAAGCTCATGACTGTATTGATTGGAAACATATGGAAGAGGCCTTTAACCTGCGGTTAGATATACAATGGCTAAGACGATCATGATCATGATGCTATCTATATGCAAGAAATAAAGAGAGAAAAGTTTGTTATATTGAACAATGTTTGTCTAAACTAGACTTAGTTGTATTTCCTTTTCTTTTTTCCAGCTCAAACCCGTAATTACTTTAACATTGTTTCTGACCCCCCTTCTGTATTTTGTATAACGTTGATGCCCCAAAATAGTACAACATAGTGGACAAGTACATTTAAGTCTGCATTCTTAATTCTGGAAGTATCTAAGACAGTTGTATGAGGCATTGCAATGACATGGTGATGTTGTTAAAGTTGGAATTTTTCAGCTATTTAAATTTTGTACATTTATTTGGCAACAAATGATAGGGAACAGAAAATGGATGTTGTTCTAAAATCTACAATTTAAGTCTGTACTAATGACTTCACAAATTTGTTATTAATTTTAATGTCTTTGTTTTATGGCCAAAAAATATGGCCAAATCCTACACTATCATTGTCAGCCTTCTATGGTTTTCTGATAATTATGATAATGATAATTATCATTCTCTTGACTGCAGGTACAAAATGAATATCTGTTTCTCCTTCCTGAAAATGATGATGTTTGTATTTAATGGAGTGATCTTTGTAAGTATGTGCTAGGGTGGACGAAAACTTATTGTGGCAGAGAGTTGGATAAATAGTTTGGGAGGTTAAATAGATGCACAAAGTACATTTTTGCAAAATATCTTTGATATGCAGATGTGAGAGATTTAAGAGCAGTATGAGCTTCATGTGTGGAAATATTCAGCATTGGAAAGCAATCTTAATACATTCCATTGTTCATAGAACAGAACAAATATGAAAAGAAAAAATGGTTTCCCACTATAGTTCTCTTATAATGTAATGGCACAAATTGGGAATGATCCCAATTTCCTCCTCCATTCTCCAATTCTTAACAAATCACCTCCTGTCCAACATTGTCTGATATAAATAATTGCATGGGATGTGAAGGATTAAGTATCATCCTTCTCTGCAAGTTTGTTTATTTTACTATGTGTATTTGTTCACCAACAAATAGTTCCATTCTCAGTACAAGTCATCACTTAATGACCCTAATTGGGACTGGCAACCCTGTTGCTGAGTGAAATGTCACATGACTGTTCCAATCAGTAGCAGCAGTTTTAGTATTCCCAGTTGGTGTTTTTGAGTGAATACCACATAGCCGTTAGGTGAGAACCCAAGCCACTGTTGGAAAAAGATAAGGGGCTGCCTCCACTTCAACTTCCCCCATCCACCTGCTCCCACATTTCTGCTGTTTTGGCCACCTTTATACCCATTGCTGCTAGTTGCTGCTGCTGCCACCACCCAGCCCTGTCTGCTGCCCCCACACTAGATGCTCACTGCATTATGTACCTGTATGGTACCAGCCAGGGTCTTCTTTCATGCAAGAAGTCAAAAACAAAGAGGAGAAAGGATTAATAAGTAAAAGACAATTAAATAGCCCCCTAAAAGTTTATAACAGAATAGTGAGAAAAGGAAAAAAATCTCCTTAAAAAAAACCAAAAGAAGTTTTGTTGATGGGAGTTCAAATAATACAGAAGAGACAAAAAGTATTCAGAAGGAAAAGATTAGGTACAAAAAAATCAAAAAGAAATACAAGAGAGAGAGAGAGAGAGAGAGAGAGAGAGAGAGAGAGAGAAGGTTGATTTAAAAAATCAATAAACTATGGAACTTCAAAAAGATTAAGAGATGATGGATAATGAGAAAACATATGAATAAAATGGGAAAATATATACAGGGAAAATAGTAGTATATGCACTAATAGAAAATATAATTTAATAATATAATCCAAATAAGTCAAGACAGTAAATGGGAATTTAGGATTAGATAATTAAACTGTATTACTAATATTAATTGTGTGTTAAGTATATTATGAATTTAAAATATTAAGGATTAGAAATTGGGTGGGATTTTGAGATACACTTCTGGGATTGATTAAATAATGTTAATATTTGGCGTTATTATTAACCCTACACATTTGGAATATTGAAGTTATGGTTGAATTATGAATAATTTTCAAAAAAAAAAAATTTTTTAGGGACTATAAATACAGGGCGCAAAGAAATGTTATTTACACTTAATTAATGAGAAAATGAGAAATGGGTTATGAAAAGAGACTAGCATTGTTGAAGTTATGGAAATTGAAAGATTAGAATTACACGTACCTATTTGTATTATTGTTACTGTTGCTTAAAAAAGACGTGACCCAGTCAATGCAATGTTCACAAAATATGTATATTTATATTGAAAAATAAAAAAACTTATTTGAAAAAGTATATATCCCAATGCGGCTCTGGAGTGGGGAACAAATGGAGGCCTGTGGCCAGCACAAAACAGAGACCCTGAGTGAGACGTGGACAGAGGCCATGGGCCAGTAGAGTAGTGGTAGACTATGAAGTGAGTATGACAGTGATGAACAAGGCAGCAGGAACAGCTGGCAGCATTAGATAGGTAGACAGCCAAAGGCCAGTGAAAAATACTTAAAGTCATCACTGAATGAATGACTGTAAAGTGAGGGCAATCCGTAGTGTTGGCAGATAAACAATATCTAGTTAGTGTCAGGCTCCAGAAACCAAGAAAGACACGTGCTGATTCTACCAAGCAGATTTCTTTATTGTTCCTCACTTATAGAGATGCTTGGTGGCAGGATGTATGGAAACAAATTTTAAATAAACAAACAAACAGAATCTTGTCAACCTGAAGCACCCTGCTGCCCACAACATGTGTAAACTATAAACAGAGAACTATTAGAGACTCTCTCTTTCTCTTACACAAACTATCTGAACTAAACTGCCTCTTAGTTCTCTGGAGTGTATCCTGTCACTCCTGAAAATCCAACCTACATGCTATCACAGTTAGATAAAGTAATATTTTAAAAGGATACCTTTGTTATGGCTGAAATATTCCACCAAACTCTCAATGGAATGGAATGCCCATTCTCTGCTTTCTTTTAAGAAAGATATTGTTTCGTTATATTTTAGCTTTTTATATATATTTCTTTTTAACCTAATTATTACAGATAGTCCTCACTTAACAACCAGTCATTTTATGTCCATTTAAAGTTACAGTGGCTATAGAATGGGTGCTTTACAACCTATAAGCACCTTCAGCTGTCATAACTGGTCACACTGCCTCCCATAGTCACTGACTACTTGTCAGGGGAGTCAACTTTATGACTGTTTGCTACGTACTGTGGTTACCTGACCACAATTTGCAATGATTTTTTTTTGTCAGTTTCTAGTGTTTTATGCTGATTTCCGATAAAAAGCACTCATTCAAATTAATGGATTGGCTTAACAACTATAGCCTTTACTTAATAACTTCAGTATTCGCTACTCGGCCTTTTGGCTAAGATCAGGTGTGTGTGTAGTATTTGTTTAACAACTGTTGCAAAAAAAAAAAAAAGTTGGAAACTTACTTCCGGCCATGTGAGTACCATGACTTACAATTGCAACAACTTATGACTGTAATTCTGAGCTCAATTATAGTTGTAAGTCAAGGACTATGTGTATAGATTGTACATTGCCTTGAGTATCCCTTGTGGTAAGGGGAAGATTTATGAATATTTCTAATCAGTCAATTGATAGGTGGCTCAGTTTCTTAGGAATGAAATGTTGAAACTAGCAAACACTCCTTTTTGCTCAAAAGCTTTTATTGCAGAATTAGAAGTGATACCATCTGTGTTCTCTCCATTTTCCTCCCAGCTAGGGGGCCTAGTTTTGCTGGGCATTGGTATCTGGGTGAAGGTAGATGGTGATTCCTTTGAGAAGATCCTTGGAGTTGCTTCACCGCAAATGTTGCTTCTTCTCCATGTGGGTTACCTATGCATAACAGTTGGCAGCATCCTTTTCATCATGGGCTTTTTGGGATGCTGGGGAGCTGTGAAAGAAAATAGATGTCTTCTGCTGGTAGTAAGTAATTTGCAAAAAGATCTCGCCATGGACCAAATGTGGGTGTTGTGAAGTTACTAAGCTGTATAGTTTACACATGGCTACTCTCATCTTGACTTAATATATGCTCCTGGACCTTTTCTGCCTCCCAATTCTTTTGAATCTTGATATGCTGGTAGAGTCCCCAAATAAATGTCCCAACTAGCATTTATCATGAAAGGATCACCAGGCTCTTTTTCTAGCATTTTTGATTCCTATTTATTTTATGTAACTGGATTGAAGTCAGTTCTCGATATTGATATTACTCAAAAATTCCAGTTAGATAGACAGGAATATTATTTTTTGTTCCTTAAAATTCTTTTAATATATTAATAGATGGTGCAAAGAATTATTCTACTTAGATTCTTTATCAGCAAAAGACTGATGAAAGGTTAAAGGAATTGTAGATAGGTCCTGACAATATATCCATATGTTCTTTAAAGACATAAGTGCTTTCAAATTCAAAATGCTGCACAGCCCTAGTACTGGATGCTATTTGACATTTGAAATAACCTGTCAGCCCTTTAAGGCAGATGAGAAAACAAGTATCACAAACAATAGATTATTGAAATAGGCTTTAATAATAGAATCTTGAAAGCCTAACATAGTTTCTCCTTCTTATACCCAAGCAAGTCAAGGCAGACTAATCTTGAATTTCTTGATCATGATATCAAACATCGTTATAAAGCACCAGAGAAATATCTTAAAATCCATCTCTTTATAAAGCCTACCCAGTTCAGAAACCGCTTAGTTAAATGATCTGGCTGCTTCATTCTGTCAAATAGGCTGTTCCTTATATGTGGTGTTGGGGCAGTCTCAGGCCACTTCACTTTTGGCGACATGTTGACTTCCATCCATCTCCCTTATAATCCACATGGACATAATTTATATCGATATAAGTACAGTATACCAAAAAATGGGCTGCTGTATAGGTATTATTAACACTGTGAGAACAAACTCAACAAAAGAAAGAATAGCATACCTTATCTACTCACTGCGGTGTGTCTGTTTCTCTTTGTCTCAACTAAAAGCAATTATATGGTGCAATATCGAATCTTTCTATTTAAAAACATTGGAAAGTCACTTTATTTAGATTTTGCCTAAACCCTGGGTCTCCTGTAATCCTTAACTAGCATTTCTGAGCTTTGGCTTTGCTAGTAGTAAACAGCACATTTCTCTGTTTCTAGTTTTTTGCAGTTATACTGGTAATCTTCACAGCAGAAGTGGCATGTGCTGTTGTGGTGCTGATTTTCTCCACTGTGGTAGGTCATGGCTAACAATCACCCCCCCACACACCATTTTTCTACAGACTACTCAATACCCATCCTACTAGGATATGTGGTGTAGTATAGTCCAATAGGTCTAAAGAACACCAAATTTAGGCAAGCTGATTTAAGCATGTTGATGACACAGTTCATCCAACTATAGTGAAATATGTTGAACAGCTGATAAGGTAGATGACACTTTAAACAGTATTACCCTGTTTCTCCAACAATACGGCCTCCCCCAATAGGAAGTCCCAGCATGTTTTATAGGCATGAAATGAAATTAAGCCCCTCCCCCCAAATTAAGGCCTATATTAAAACATGCGAAATGGGGGGGGGGGAATGGGGGGGCTTGCCATTAGGAAGTACTTTTGTTGCATACACAGATATGGTGCTGCCTGCATTGACCCCAATACGAAGTGCCCCACCAACGCCGAGGTCAACATCCAAGCTGTCGCTGCCCGCCTGCCCAAACATGCAAGGGGGGTGGTGGAATTAAGTCACCCCTGAAAAGACGGCCTAGCCATTTTGGGGAGGCTCAAAAAAAAAAAAAAAGACCTGGCCTTATTATATGAGAAACACAGTATTTGGAAGTGAAGTGACAAATTGTAATGTTATCTTTTACCATTAACATGCCTCTTGACTCCAGACATCTATATTTGTTGAACACTTGAAAAACTGGGCCATGAAGACTTTAAAAGAAGACTATGGGAGGCAAGAAGACCTCACAGCCATTTGGGACACTACAATGAAACAGGTAATTCAGCTGCAAAGACCAGTTTTATAAAATCATAGAATCATAGGGACTGGAAGGGACCTTGGAGGTTTTCTAGTCCAATCCCATGCCCAAGGCAGGAGTCCTTATACCATCCTAGACAAATTAATGTTCAATCTTCTCTTGAAAACCTCCAGCAATGGAGTGCTCACAGCTCTGGGAGGCAAGTTTTTCCACTGACTTATTGTTCTCCTGTCAGGAAATTCCTCCTTAATTCAGATTGGATCTCTCTCTAATGAGCATCTTGGAGCACCGGGAAACTATCAGAGGACTGGAAAAGAGCTGATATAGTTCCCATCCTCAAAAAAAATGAAAGAAAGAAAGGAAAAAATGAAAAGAGGGACACATAACTAAGGCAGAACACCGGCATATAGTCTGAATCTGCAAAGTCAGGAAAGTGAAGGCTCAGAATGAACATTTACAACAAATGTCAAAAATAATTTTTAAAAAGTTTCTTTCAATATATGAAAAAAAAACAAGAAAAAAGTCAAGGAAAAAAATCAGTTCACTAATGGGAGAAGATGATAAGAAGGTGACAGGCAGCAAGGAGAAAGCAGGGCTACTAAATTCATTCTTTGCATCTGTCTTCACAGAAAAGAAAAAAAATAGCCCAACCTACCAAAAGCAGAATCCTAAAAGACAGACTAGGAATAAAAGTTAAAATAAGACAAGAAATGGTAAGACAACATCTATTCACCCTATATGAGTTCAAATCACCAGGACCAGATGGATTACATCCCTGAGTTCTAAAGGAGCTGACAGACAAGATCTCAGACCCATTGAATTATATATTTCAAAGATCCTGGAGCCCTGGGGAACTACCAAAGGACTAGAAAAGAACTGATGTGGTTCCATTAAAAAAAAAGGGGGGGGGGGGGGGATCCAGGAAACTACAGATCAATCAGCTTGAAATCAATTCCTGGAAAAATCCTGGAAAAAAAAACTCCAAGCGGCAGATTTGTGAACCATGAACAAGGTGATTAATAGAAGCTTGCATCAGTTTTTTTAAAAAAAACAGATGATGCAAAACAACAACAACAAACCTGTCTGCCTTTTTTGATAAAGTGACTAAATTAATGAATCGAGGAAATGTTGTGGATATACTTGGACTTCAGTAAGCTATTTGACAAAATAGAGCATAGCCTACTTTTTGGAAAGATAAAACAATGTGGGACAGACATTATCCCCACCAGATGGATTCACAACCAGCTACCAATCACACTCAGCATGTAGTCCTCAATAGAACAACATCTACATGGAGGGAAGCATGCAGTGCAATATCTCAAGGTTCTGTCTTATGCCCAGTGCTCTTCAATGTCTTCATAAATGATCTCTCAAATTTTATATCCACATTTGAAATCACACAATTACTGCTGAACATTAACTTGTGATAATATAATGCCAGCACTCAAATGACTATTTGGCATGACATTGCAAACTTGTTAGTTTGCCTTCCACTTTAACTCGAAGAAAGTTTGATTCATTTTGTTCAAATACAGTTGCATTTTAAACAAATACCAGGGTATTTGTGGGGAAAGTCTCTTTTTTCATTTATGATTTAATTTGTACTTGCCTCTAGACTGTTCTGTTTTAATCTCTATATGCATCAGTAAAGTGCAAGAAGGAACAGAAAGACTGAGAAAATATAATGAATTGTATATGTGCTGCAATCTGAAGAACCAACTGAATAACAAAGTAACAAAAAGAAGGGACCTTGATCTCGATTCTATCCCTCTATTACCTCCGGAAAAATCTTGGAAAATGTTCTACTTAGTTTGTAAGACATTAAGCATAATGAATTGGGTAATATAAATCTCCAAATGTATATATCTTGTTTGTAGTGTGTTATTTATCATAATATTTATCATAATATAAAAGCTCCGATTGGTACTGAATTTATATCTTAGCAGCTTTCGGATAATCAATATATTTTCTGGCTGTTTCTCTGTCTTTTGGCAACCGTAAACCCTATGCATCTTCATATTCTAGCTGAAATGCTGTGGATTCAACAACTATGCAGATTTCAACAGTTCCTACTTCTATCAAACTCATAAGAAATATCCTTCTCTTTGCTGCCTATCCAGCAAAGAATGCCAACAATTTGAAATCGACCATAATAAGCAGGTAACTTTGCTTCCTAAAGAATCACAAAAGGCTGGTTGCTTTTCAGGTTTGTGACAAGGATTACTTTTAAGAAAACCTAAAGCAGCCCATCAAATTTGGTAGAGGAAATGACACCACACCAGTTTGTAGGTAAAATCTAGCTAATTGAGGGCCACCAACCTTTTCATCCCCAAACCATTCTAATCTCAATTCAAAGACTTCTTGATATTGTGCAAGGCAACTCTGATCATTTCAGTTCCTGCTAAGATTCAAGACACTACAAAAAAAAATGTTTTGTAGGCAGGGAACTGCTTAATTTGGCCCAATAGCCAAGCACACAGAACTGCCATCTAGTCAGTGTTCAGTTCTTGGCCTATTATTGACTGCGTTGCTCTCTGCACTGTTGGCTTAAGCTCAAAACATCCATCCCCTCTCTTTAAAGAAATCAAAGAAAAAGAAATAAATTACATCAGTTCCCTTCAAAGTAAATAAGTCGTTAGAATCACTCCATTTGGACCCTGTAAGTCAGTCAAACCAGAATACCATCATGACAAAGAAACATTTGAGTGGAAATTGGAGCTCTCCTCCACCAGAAAAGCAAGCTGTTTGAACCATAGCATTTTCTGCCTCATTAAAGCTATTCCTGAATCACAGGAAACATGTGAACCAAGGATTGCTTTCATAAACCATCATCCAATCAGTGGGAGGGAGTTATTGCCATACCTATTGGATCCACCTCTCTATTTAAAAGTCCCTTAAATAAATGAAAATAGGCATTTTCTTTGTTCACTGCATGAGGACTGAAATAATACATTAATAGCTGAAAGCAACATTTGTATCTGAAAGCAACATGATTCTGTATAAAAACTGACATCATTTGTGTGTTACAATTGGTGGGGGTAGATGCAGAAACCAATTGCCAGATGCTTCAGAACAGAATGGTCAAGATCAGAGGTGTCAGGGATGGGATCCGACCGATATAACTACCGGTTCTGTTGCTCTGCATCGCGCGCACATACGTGAGTCGCATGAGTGCAATTTATGACCTGCTAAGCTGCCCAGACAGCTGAACAGCGCTGTGTGCGGGTGCGCAGCAGTTGGAAAAGCCCTTTTTTCCTGCTTTTTCAACCACAGCTGTGCCGCACAAAGCAGCTGAGGTTGAAAAAGCAGGAAATAAAGGTCACGTAAGAGCCCAGGTGGGCGGGTGGGCCAAAAGAGCAGCAGACATAGAGCCAGTTCTATGTCTGCTGCTCTTCAGAGCAACCGGTTCTACAGAGGTGGACAGAACAGGTAGAATTCCACCCCTGAGAGGTGGTATTCAGCAGGTTCTGATCAGTTCTGGAGAACAAGTAGCAGAAATTTTGAGTAGTTTGGAGAACTGGCAAATACCACCTCTGACTGGAGATTAGTATCCTTCCCCTGCCACACCCATCAAGCCACGCCCACAGAACTGGCAGTAAAAAAAAAAAATGAATCCCACTATTGACCCTGATATCTACCCCACAGACTGCTTTCTTTGCAGACATGCATTTCAGAGGTGTATATGATTCAATATCCCCCCTCCCCCAGAATCAGTTGCAGGTGGGTAGTCATATAAAATGAATGAATGATGTATTTGCAGTAAAATTTGGGGGACGGAAGTATCCTCCTATGTTGCATGTATAGTTCTTTTTTCTAGCCAAGCAAGGAAGGAAAGAATTTTACAAACTGTTTACTGTTTGGCAAGGTTAGCATATATTAAACAACCTTTTTTTAAAAATGCAGAAACTTTCTAAAGTCAAGCAAGCCTTTGTCTCCAAGCTTGATACCTGTTATAATATGTACAAAATGACCCTTGAGTAACAAGGATATGCACATGGAAATGTTTATGAGAATAGTTATGAATAATTATCCAGCCACACACAGATACACTAAATTGAATTAAAGTTTACTTTAAGAAATAGCATAGTCCAATAAACAGTCCAGGTCATACACGTTTAACAGTCCAAAGAATATCCAATTACAAAGTCTTCTTACCAGTTGCCTTTGTCATTTACAGTAAACAAAGATATCAAAGTATAAGCACAGCAGAGAATCTTAGATAGCAACAGAATGTCAGAGATACAGAATGTCAGAGAGAGCAAACCATGATCTCTAGCTCCCTCTTATGGCAATCTGCAATACAATCAACCAACCGGAACACAGTACAAATCAATACAGTAATTTTGTCTTAAAGCTACAAACATACATTGTTGGTTTATACAGTATATTGCCAACCCAACTAATTGATGGACAGATTCCTAACAATGCCTAATGACAAGAAGTAAAAATATTTTGATAGAATGATGCTAATGCATATGCTTTTTAAATAAAAGTGTCTGATTTTTTTTCTACTACACATCCTCCTTTATTAGAGTCCCAAGGAATTCAATAAATTGGCAAAATGATCCAGGACTCTTGTATCAATACTAATACTGATATTAAGAGATTTCAGTAACATAGAAAAGTGATAACAAATTACCTCCACTACATCACATACCTTTGTCTTTCAGGGTTGCTTGTTTGAATTTGAGATGTTTCTGAACCACAATGGGAAGATTGTTGGAGGAGTGGCTCTAGCAGTTGGGATAGTTGAGGTAGGCTTACATAGGTTCATTCTCCTGATCTCAAGATTCATGATGTTATTTACATAGACCCAAGAATCTGCTTTTCAAAAGTAATTTTTGATTAAATTTAATGCAAAAGCCCAGACAGTAAGGATAATGTATGTTCACTGTTTTGTTTGATACTTTTGAAAAACTGTATCATTCATCTGATTATCTCCATTGATCAGATCCAGTATGAGTATTTTTTAACAATCTTCTCCAATCTTTATTCTTTTTATCTTTACTGCCAAAATACTTTACTGTTTTACTGCTACTAAAAGACTCCAGTAATCATAATGTCAAAATCTGAATGTCACTAGCAGAATTAAAATTATATTCCATGTGGTTTATTCATTTATTCATTCATTCATTTATTTTTAAGTTTATTTGCTGCCCATCTCAATCGCAAGGTGACTCTGGGCAGCTTATACAACAATATGTATACAACAAGAGTAAAACACTATAAAATATGAATTATCAGGTATAAATAAAGCTAAAAGATGGGGGAGGAAGTAGGCTGAGCAGGTGAATATGTTATTAATCAATTAACCACCTCCAGTGTGATAGTCCCCTTGGGCCCCAGGCTAATTGGCAGAGTGACATTTTCAGGCTCTTGCAGAAGGTCAGGAGGGTGAGAGCTGACCTCACTTCTTGGGGGCAAGATGTTCCAAAGGGCAGGAGAAGCAATAGGAGGTTTCCTATCCATCACAGCAAAATATCTCCACTTATATCCTGGTCTTCAGAAATATATCAGTATGCTGATCTGGGTTAATTTGCAGAAGTTGCTATCTCTTTTCTATAGTGGAATTGATAAATAGATTCAGAAAAACCATATCTAAAAGCAAATAAATCTTCCAACTTCAGGCAAAATTCATATAAGTCACTCACCTATATCATTTGTAGATGTTGCCTAGATACTATCAGACTATACTGTTATAGAAAATGAGTCAAACTTTTACTGCATATTTTTCTCCAAAATGTTATCATAATCCTTCTGAAATCTAGAAAAAGAATAATTGAATAGGTTCTCAAGGTTTTTAGGACATTTTAAGTCCATTTTACATCAGAGGGTGTGTAAGATTAGTAAAGTAGCGTGCAATCTGTTTATGTCAATCTCATTTCACTTTTTCTTTTCTTTTGTAGATGGCTGCTATGGTTGTCTCCTTGATCCTCTATTTTCATATAGGTACAAAGGTCTGAAGCAAAATGCCATCTCCTGGCCTGATCAAGCACCAGCCAAGTCAATCTCTGTGCCTGTGGTGAAGAGACAGGACAATTGTCCATGTTCATAAATGGAAAAAAGCAGTATCTTTCAGTGGTTCTGTATAGCTATAGAGCTGGCACACCTTGAACCTTTTTGATAATGGTATTGATTGATCATTAATTTCCCCTTACTATTATAAATGGTATAATAGTTAGACATGCCAAGAAAATAAATTGGCTTTACCTACTACTATTTATTCTATGTGGTGGGAAGCCCAGGAAATTTTTAGAAGGAACTTTGAAAAACAACATTAAATATGTTTGAATGTTATTTGTAAGGATATGTGCACAAGGCTTAGCAGACCTGATGAGAATGAGCACAGGGAAACAGTATCATTCCTAAAGCAGATCAGGAATGCAGCTATATAAAGTGTCTGTAATTCCCTGTTTGGAAACTTTGAATTGGAGCCAGGAAGAATTGGTTCCCAGAAGTGACACAGTTAAGAGCCAGTGGTGTCAAAATATTTCATGACAAACCTTTAGTACAGGTCTCATGGAATGGTTTGAAAATATACTGCATGAGATAGCAACTTAAATGGCAAATAGGCAAATTTGCTGATGCAGACGTTGTGTCACTAATAATAATATAATTCTCAAGCACTTTTTATTATAATCTAACTCCTTTTGCCATAATTATTTATACAATGTTGATGCAAGCTTTTACTACTCAGTGATTCTTTATTCTGAAAGACAAAATATACTGTAACTTCAAATTAAAGAAACATGTGCTATACTTTTTATATGTCACTAGGTGATTAATCTTTAGGAGTTATTTTGATTTCATTATGTAGCTAAGATTTCAGAGTTTGATTTAAGTAACAAAAATATTAGCTAATGCTGTATTAGATGAATTAGTAGACAATTTTAATTAATGAAGCCATGAACTAGGAGGTTTATTATTATTTTTTTGATATGGCATAATAGGGAATGAAAAAAGGAAAATGAACTTTATTATTGTGATCTGTTGCAAGTCAGCCAAATATTTAGACTGGATTTGGCATTTTAATCCATCTATCAAGTCCTTCCCAAGGACTGGAATAGGCTGATATTATTGTCTGATGATGTTGAAGGCATCGTCACAGGATATGTTGTTCTCTATAAAGCTGCCTTTTGCAATTTATTATTGTTATTATTTTTGTTATTATTATTTATTAGATTTCATATAGCTGCCCACTCCAATTGACTCTGGGCAACTTATAGAATATAATTTATAATTAAAACAAATAAAAACATAAAACAAAATGAAACAAGATAACCAGAAATAAAATCAACCATTACAACCAAACATAATTAATCATGATTATAACAAAAATTGGTTAATTGCTAAGTTTGTCTGATATACCAATGAAATATCTCATCATGGAGCACTTTTGTATCAGCCTGCTCAGTCTCTTAATGAGTAATATGAATTTGAAAGTAAAGATCCACAAAGAATACATAGAGAATACCAGAAGTTGAATCAGTGCTCACTCTTTCTGTTTTGCTAATTAGCAAAATCTCTATCCCTCCCCTAAATTATTACCAGTTATACACAAAATTTATCTCAATCCTATTTGACACAAATAAGGCTAATGCCTTCATCCCATACACAGTACCTGTATCTTTACTTTATAGCAGTTGGCAACGTGCGGATTGGCTGGTGGACAGTTGTCCATGCCATCATTGGTCAAAGATAAGTGTCCTGGGTGAACCACCTGTGGCCACACAGTGGGAGGGAGAGAGGACAGGGATCAGTAGCAATGGCAGTTGCCACCTTACACTTGCTTGTGCTTTGCTATGTAGTGACAGACTGCCATGAACTGTGGGGAGAAGGGGGAATGCTTCAGGAAATGAAAGTAAATGCTGTATCTCTTTGAAACACTGCCTCAAGGTCACCCAGCTGGAAGGAGGGGGCCACATACCAAACTATGCTTGGACTGACCATTAGGAAAACATCTTGCCTGAACTGGATTGGTTACACTGGAGGAAACCGTAAGAGACAGGTTGGAAGGGACCTTGTAAGTCATCTAGTCCAACCCCCTGCCAAGCAGAAGACCCTGTACCATTTCTGACAGGTGGCAGTCCAGTCTCTTCTTGAAAGCTTCCAGTGATGAAGCTGCCACAATTTCTGAAGGCAACTTCTATTCCATTGATTGTTTTCACTGTCAGAAAGTTTCTCCTTATTTCCAGGTTGAATCTCTCCTTGTTCAGTTTCCATCCATTATTCCTTGCCTCACCTTCAGGTGCCTTGGAAAATAGCTTGACCCCTTCCTTTCTGTGGCAGCCCCTCAAGTATTGGAACACTGCTGTCATGTCTCCCCTGGTCCTTCTCTTCACTAGACATACCCAGCTCCTGTAACTGTTCTTCATATGATTTAGTTTCCAGTCCTGTAATTATCCTGGTTGCTTTTCTCTGCATTTTTCCAGAGTCTCAACATCTTTTTTATAGTGTGGTGACTAAAACTGGATGCAGTGTTCTAGGTGTGGTCTTACTAAGGATTTATAGAGTGGTATTAGTACATCACTTGATCTTGATTATATCCCTCTGTTAATGCAGCTTAGGATTGCATTGGCTTTTTTGGCGGCGGCTGCATACTGCTGGCTCATATTTAGCTAGTTGTCTGTGAAGACTCAAAAGATCCCTCTCACAGTTGCTTCTATTAAGCCTAGTTTCTTTTGGTTTTTCTTGCCTGTGGTTTTTCTTGCCTAACTTTACTTTTCTCTACATTGAATTTCATTTTGTTAAATGGGGCCTAGTGTTCAAGTCTGTCAAGATCCACCCGGATCTTGAGCCTACCTTCTAGGGTGCTAGCTATTCCTGCCAGATTAGTATCATCTGCAAATTTGGTAAGTTTCTCTTCTATTCCCTAAGTCGCTTATTGAAGAGTACTGGGCCCAAGATGTAACCCTGTGGTACCCCACTGCTTCCTTCCATGGAGAAATAGACCATTAAGGACTCCTCATTGAGTATGGTTTGTCAGCCAGTTAAGGGAGGGAAAAGTAGAACTTAGGGATTTTGGCATGCAATTTTCAGTTCTGGCTTTGCACTACTACAATACAATTGAACTCTAATAAATTATACCTTTCTTAACAAATGGAGCCAAAGATTATTCTATTTAGAGGTTTAAATTGTGGCAGATCCGACAGTAAGCCAGAACTGCATTCTTTCATCCACCCAGAGGATTAATCTACCATGGGAATTTTGCAATCTTTAGAACCATGCTAGCTCTGGTGAAGATCAAGCAGAGCTGGAAGGCGGGAAAGAATTTGTGACAGGACTGAAGAACAACTGCAAAAGCCCTGACTGGGGAGAGGAGCTGAGGCTCCTCCAACCTGGAAGAGAAACCAGCAAACCACAGCTGAACCTGGAGCCTGCCCTAAGACAGCCTCATAGAAGCCAGTACCACTGTCCTGATCCCCTGAGAGATGGAGTAAGTCTCCCATGATGGGGGATTGACCCCAATGGTCATTTGGCATCAGAAAATTGGAAGAACCACTGGTAGGGGTGGCCATCAGAGGATCTAGGCCCAAGCCAGGAGGGCAGCACAACCTGTGGCAAGCCTGGAGAGGGCTCCCAATGTGACAGTCAATCAGAGAGTCGAATTCATCAAAGACATGCTTTCCTCAGTACAGATAAAGGGTAGGGAAAGAAGAGCTAAATGCCAGGTATAGTACATCTGAGGCTCATTATCAAATCAATAACATGAAAAATGAAATTTGAGAATCTTGCAAATTGTGAGGAGAATAAGAGCTCTTTGACAAAGTATTATTATCTGTAAAAAGGGTCCGTCCCCCCCAGGAAAAATAATTGGGGTGTGTGTGTGTCTAAAAATCCCTTCCCATTCATTAAACTATCTATTTCTGTTCTCTGTCTCACTGAAATATTGTGCATTAAAAATTGTGCAGCATGCCATCAGAATTGCAGAATTGAGAAAATTGCAGAAGGCTGAATTTGGCAGAAAATCCAAAGGAATAACGTAGCCCCTTTCCAATAAAAAATACTTTTTATTAAAAGGCATAAAATTTTGTGAACCGCAGCTCACTTAATCAAATGCATGTAAAATTGATGCAGGATTTAAACTGGGAAAAGGCAAGATCGGGAGGAAACATCCTTATGCAGAGCCAGGTTACATATGAGACAAATTGCCCAATTCCTAGTCACAAAGTGAGAGAAATCAAATCAGAGAATTGGCACTAAAATCTTGAAAAGAGTGGAAAGAAAAACAGCGTCAGAGCGAGACCCAATTTGTCTGGGTTGCAAAGACATGTCATTGGAAGTGTAAAGTGAAGTGCGTATATGCAAAAGAAACCATACTCCTTTGCCAGAAAAGGCCAATCATGCTGCAGAGAAGAGGAGGGGAGGCAACTGGTACATGCTGTCAGAGGCCAAACAGGCACAGCCAGAAGCAAACAGGGAGATGAGCCAACCATCAGTCAAAGGAGATGTGCAATCTACTGAATCTTCATCCTCATTTATGTAGGGCAGTGAGGCACTGCAAGTCTCAGTGGTGGGCAAAGTTCTGTCTAGCAGGAACAACTGTTGGACTGTGAAGCTGATGCTTCCTTTAGGGCAGTGTTCTTGTGATTGGCGCTGTTCATGCCAGAGCTTGCATCCAGGCTCTCATTCATCTTTTCACAGATTATGTCTACCAAGCGCTCAAAGACCTGCTTGACATTGATATTATCCTTGGCACTGGCTTCAAAGAATTCTAAACCTGGAAGGAGAAGAAATGTTAAAAAAAGAAGAAGCAGCCCAAAGATGGGAGGGGAGAAAGAGAGGGGAGGGAGGGAGGGATTTCTTGTTTTGTTGGCTAGGAGATTGAGGGAGCAATCTAATCTGGAGGTGTTCCTATATAAGAGACAAAACAAACCTAGTTCATCAGCAAGTCTCTTGCCATCTTCAGTGGGTATTACTCGATTATCCTCCAGGTCACACTTGTTCCCAACCAGAATCACTTGAGCATTATCCCAGGAGTAAGTCTTGATCTGAGTTGCCCTAAGAGAAGGATACAGAAAATTCTGGAATGGATTTGCTATTGGGTTTGTAATTTCACAGTTACCTAAAAAGAACACTCAGTGACAGTCATAAGGCAGAATAATCATCCTCGTTTCATCAGTTCGTATGCACTATTATTTCCGCCTTTTGCAAAAAGGAACAGTGTTGATTTGAATGGTGGTTGCTCTCCCCACTTTCCCTAACTGACAGGAATGGGGAAAAGGAAATCAGAATCCTTATTGTCTGCACACACCCAGAATGAGATACCAATTCAAAATATATCACTTGGCTTATTCAGATAGGAAGGTCTTAACTCTTTTTAAGATGAGCTTTTGAGTTATGAGTTACAATAATTCTGGAAGCTCTTTTTAGAACTGTAGTGGACTAGGGAGAAAAACGGGTGGATGGGTAGCTGAGGAATATTATCAGAAGGAAGGTAATGTGACAGAAAAGACAACTTCTAAAAAGAGAAGAAATGGAATGACAATCCTAATTTGGAGTTTGAAGAATTTTTGGAAAGTTGTGTTTTGTTAAAGTTAACTTGTGTAAGCAATGACTGGAGATATTCTTATCATTCTTGTAACCATTTCTGGCTTGTGGAGTAGTTTGTAGAAGAATTGTAGCTGTTCTTGTTCTGTTTTGAAGTGTTTGGTGGGTGGGAGGGGAATGTGGTTAATTATTATATGAAAAAGGAAGAGCTTGGAATTCAGTTAGCAGGTGTTTGGATTTTATGTTTTTATTTAGTTTGTTTTGCTATTGTTAGATATTGGGGAGATTATTAGTGGGTGGGCCTTCAGTTTATTTATGGATTATGTATTCAGGAGAGGGGTCAGTGAATTGTTGGGGGGAATATTCTGGGACCAGTGATGGTCATTTCAGAACAAGAAGCTATGAATTAAAACCAGTCAAGAAGAGAACCAATCTAGAAGTAAGGAGGAATTTCCAGACAGTAGGAACAATTAACCAGTGGAACGGCTTGCCTCCAGAAGTTGTAGATGCTCTGTCTCTGGGGTTTTTTAA